GTAAACAAAGATGGCGACTTTGACTGTTGCGCAGATCTCAGACTTGTATTACTAGTCTGAGCGCAGATCAACGAGTACGAACTGAGGCGTTTCCAAGCTTTAATTAGGCAATTTTCGTGTGATTAGAAGGTATCGAAGAAGTCATCGTCGGAAATCAGCGCAAATCGCGCCCAAGTCAAACCTTATACTTGTGATTTCCATTTGAAGAACGCATTGGATTGTGGGAAAATCAATGTTTATCAACACAAATGTCGCATATGCGCAGCGCGACGACTGCCGCGCTTTAAACAAATACATCACTATAAGTGCAAAATTGAGAGAAAGTTGTTAAGGATTTTAAAAGAATTATGTACATACACTGAAAGTTTATATTGTGTTTCACATTTTTCGTTGCATGGATAGACTCTGAAACGGCGAGGGATCCAGTCATCTCTACAATTCTCATACAATGGACAAAATAGAATAAAATGGAATTCATCCTCAACTACCGATCTTCCTATACTTTGACAATAAAAACAAATTCTCAGCCGGAGAGGAATTATTGGATTACTATGCCGTCCTGTCTTCACTGTCAATTTATGACTTGAACACCGAAGTGTCATGAATTTGTTTTTGTGTATCTGTTGACCGACTTAATTAACTGATTATTAGCGAATTGCTGTGTTATGTCTGTCATCGTGTAGGCCTATTTGAAGTTTTGGACGGAACTTGGCTCAGTGATTTGGAACTAATTACGAGATAATCGTCGCCATTCTGACAGTTTATATCCATAGTTATTAATGTAGTTAACGATTAATCAAAAGATATGACGTATTCAGTACTTAGTGTGATTGGCTTTATGATTGAAGGTTACGCCCTAGAGTCTTTTACTGTTTTGTAATTGGTTAGAGTTTTGAAAATGAATAAAGAGAGTTTGAGTTGGTCTTGGCGAATACTCCACGACAGACGCAGTCCTGGGCAGTCGAGAGTCCAGTCCAGACAGTTATAGAGTGCTCCAAAAGATCGACTAAGACGAGAGCTGAAACGTATTTCGTTGTGTGTGTCTTATTTGACTGTAAAGTTAAAGTGACTTCCCCGATCCCGTACCTCAAGGGGACGAGATAGAGAGACGAGACGAGATTTCCCCCTGGCAAGTGTGGAGAAACCCCAGAGAGAGAGAGATTTCCCCCTGATAGAAGTCTTGCCAGAGCAAATTTAAACTTCATAATACATGTACATGATAAATGCAGTTCTGGCTCTAACAAAAATTTGAAATTAACATAACAACGCATCTATCTGAT